TGGAAATTTTTCCCAGGCCAATCAGATCTCTTGCCTACCATAGCCAAACGTTCGTCCTTTAAAAAGGTATCCTGCAGACTTAATCCTCTCTCCTTTGTTTTCATGGAAAATTAATTCCAGCTTTATTATTTTGAGCCATCCATAGGGACTCATGAAACTCATAGGGTCCATAGGGTTATTTGAGTGACTCATAGGAATTCAGTTGTGAATTGAAACAGATAAAAGCGGGAACTTTTTGAAATATTTTAAGTCATTTTTTTCAAACTGCAACTTTTTTGGTTTTCAATAAAATTGAATGATCATGCCGTCTGCCTTTTGCAGACAGCAATGACTTCTAGAAGTGAGAGCATGGTCAGACCCCATTGGGATGGAAGCTGCCCTGTAAAGCTCACTGAGCTCACCTGTTCATCTCTCCCGCAGAGTGCGGCGGCCGCCTGAGAGCGGAACCCAAGCCCAGGGACCTTTACTCGCACGCGCAGTTTGGCGATAACAACTACCCAGCGCAAGTGGACTGTGAATGGCTGTTGGTGTCAGAACGGGGCTCGCGACTGGAGTTATCGTTCCCGACTTTCGAAGTGGAAGAGGAAGCGGACTGTGGCTATGACTATGTTGAGCTCTTTGGTGGCCTCGATTCAACAGCGATGGGGCTTGGTCGATTTTGTGGATCAGGGGTAAATACAGTCCCAACAGAATACCATAGCCATGATAAAAAAAAAAAAAAAAAGCCTATCGATTCATGCTTAACATATGTAACATACAGAACAGCAGTGTTTTTACCCAAAAAAGTGATATATTATCAGTTTCTTAACACATTATAACACGCCTTACCACTTCTTACCACTTCTGGTGAATTTGCTTGATAATATCAAAAGAGATAGATGAATTCAGTAGTTATAATTTCTTGTTACCATCCACATTCTAAATTTTATATTCTTGGCTTTATAGTGCACTAAATATTTAACTTTTTAATAATATAAATGGAATACACTTAAACACACACATTTGACAATGGTGTCACCTTCCTAAATTAAAGCACACACACACACACACACACACACACACAACACAAATATGCACCCCATTCAGATTGACATTCTCTTTTCAACAAATGTGTTTGGTGGGAGTGGATGGTCCGCCACAGTGCAGATCAACCGATGTTATTCAACTATAGGGTATCACTCTGCACAGGACACATTGCCAGATACAGGCCAGAGCGTGTCACAATGAGAAATAAAAAAAATGGGGGGAGGGGGAAGCTTAAGGAAAGCCTCAGTGCTTTCTTTCCCAGAATCCTCTGCATCAACATCAAATCCACAGACTCAATATCTGCGTATATATATTGTTTTGACGACATTATCCCCAATTTTTGTATTGTCTATCAGTATCTATTGCTTAATTAATACTATTAAACTCCTGTCCAAATAGCAACTGAAATGAAAACAAAAACCTTCTTGGACTTCAATTATTAAAACTAGAAGGAATGGAAAGTTTGGGTTCTGGAAGTGACTCTGCCTCGGAGCAGCTCCTGAAACAAGTTTAATGTCTCTTCATCCTCTCTGAGCCTCACTTTATTAATTTATAAATCAAAGGAAC